AAGTAAACGCAGGAAATAAAGCGAATGGGGCCCTACACTCCATTGTGAAAAGCAAGAATGTGTCAAAAAAGGCACGTACGGCAATTCACAATGCTGTGTTGGTCCCTACTTTAACTTATAGTAGTGAAAGTTGGGTGTGGCAGAAGAAGCACGAAAGTAGAGTAAACGCAGTAGAAATGCGGTCGTTAAGGAGTATGTTAGGGCTGAATCTGAGAGACATGGTGAGAAATTGTGTGATAAGAGACGAGTGTGGTTTGCAAAATGATGTTGTAACCAGGATTAAGAAAGGAATGCTTTGATGGTTTGGTCATGTGGAAAGAATGAATGAGAAAAGAATGACAAAGCAAACTTACGTTGCAGAAGTGAACGGCAGAGTTGGAAAGGGACGTCCTAGGCGAAACTTTATCGATCAAATTGGCGATATATTGAAAATGGGCCAAGTTAGGAGTACCCTTAACTGACGAGCATGTATGCGCAGTTATACGGATGTGGAGGAGGCGAGAGAGGTGTATCAGGATCGTGCCAAATGGAAGTCTGTAGTCTTTGCCTACCCCTCTGGGTGACAGGGGTGAGTGTTTATGTATGTTTTATTTATTAGATTATGTATTAGATCTTGATCTAATTCGACTAGATAATTTGATAATATATTTTAAGAGATTGACAAGTTGTGTTACGAGGTTCGAAAATATTAAAATGCAAAATTGTAAAATAAATACCTCTGTATTGCCAGTAACTAAATACGAAACCAAAACTTGTTATTTCACTGCTGGTTATACGAGGAAGATCAAATTGTCTCAGTAAAGGCTATCCAAGTGGCAGGAGGCGTTTCTGCCTAGGTATCTCTCTTGGGTCCCCTTCTAATGTTAGGCTAGTAGTAGTAGTTTTTGGCACCCCCCACCCCCGGACGGGTTCCCGTCTTATCGTGGTGAGGTGACTTAGTAGCCGTGGCTTGGTCACCCGCGGTGAACTAAGTAGAACACACATGGCTGGCCCGATGTGTAGGGCCGGCCTGCGAAGGACACTCCGAGTGGGCTTGGCGAACCCACTTCGGATGTGTGTCGGTGGGCTGCGGCGAGATGGGTGCCCTCCCCCCTACCGCTGCAGTCAAGGCGGAGCCGCGGAGGAAGAAGAGTGCTGGTATTACGATGCGCTGCTCGCCTTATTCTCTGCCACTCTGACGGGACCGCACTGTTGATTGATGCGGTGGTGGTAGGTCTGCGGAGGGAGAGGAGTGTCGGTATTGTGAGGCACCGCTCTCCCTAACCTCCGCAACCGAATCTTGGTAGGAGGTGGAGCCATAAACCCAATCCGCCGGCAGGGTCAGGAGGGTTAATGTTTCTGAGTGCTCGTTTTTCCTGGCCCCATGGCCTTCGCGCGTCGTATACGCTTCTGTTGCGCACGTGAAAAAGGAGGCTGTGGAGGAAGGCGCGCCATGGGTTTTGTGCGCCTTACCTCAGAAGGAGAAGGAGGAGGAGTAGTCCTCTTTCGAGAAGGGGCCGCCATGGGGCAGTCAGTGCTGGAAGGGCCGCGGATATGTGCGAAAGTGTTTCCGTGGCCCTGCCAATATGCGATAAAGGTGGAACACCATAGGGTTTTAGTCGGTGCGAGTCCGACATAACCCATTCTTGCCCCCGCGAAGCAAGTATACGTAGGCATTTTCCCATGTATAAAAGGCAAACTATTTAAAACACGAATGTACAAGTTTTTTCTATTAATTGGCAAGCATTTACGTCCTGTGGTGTTTGATTAAACTAGTGAAATAAGACTACTAAATTTTCAACCAAGTTATTTTATTTTTGAATCACAGCTATAGGTTTTCTTTGGTCTTTATTCTTGTATCAATACCAGCCAAGACGAGCACCATAACCGTAAGCGAGGCCGTTGGTACCGTATGAGACGGCATTGTGAGCGAGAGGACTGGCGAGGACTCCGTGAGACAGAGGCGCAGCGTAAGTGTTGTAGGCCACAGGCGTTGCGATGTTGGAGTAAGACAGAGGAGCAACTTGGGCTCCGTATGCAAGACCAGTGCTGTGGACGCCGTAAGCTGCAAGAGGTGCGGCGGCAGCGTAGCTTAGAGGAGCAGCTACAACGGATTGTGCGGCACGGCCAAGGACGGCAGGATCCCTGCGTACGACTGCGTTGAATCCGGTATGCGCGTTAGCGGCATAGTCAACAGTGCGACGGTGGCCGTCAGACTCTAGCAGTGAATACTGTCCCACCACACTGTCACCGACACGCGTTTCGTGCTGACTCTTCACGTCGCCGGTGTGCGGGTCTGCAACTCCGTAAGAGAAGCTGGTGTAATCACCACGGCTTGCGCTTACACGCGCAGCCACCACGAAGAGAGCAAGGACAACAAACTGTGAAATAAACGAAAAAGTTAACTGTATTTACTGACCTTACCAAAAATAATCTAATTTATTTTAAGGTATTTTTACGTATAATAATATTACTTTCAATATCGCACAATATTACCTTAGCGGCCATTGTATGTGTGTTTTGTTTAACGTCGGTGAGTTACTGATTAACGCTGAAGTTTTCTTTCTCTATTTATATACTGACGAAGGCTTCCATTAAGCGCTTTAGCTTTTTCATTAACACCTTAATAAAGAAGGAAGTTATTTAATACGAATGACGAACGAATTTAAGATTTCGTGATTATTTGTTTTACTTTCTCTTTAATATTCCGCAATGCGATCGTGTAACGCTGGTGGGAATCATATTTGTCTTACGACGTCACATGTTAGATTTTGAAATTGATGTGGGAATGTGTCATTATCGACTATAAGCCGATGTCCTTTTGACAATATCTTATTTTAGGTTACAAACTATTATCATAATTACAAAGGAAACGCAGTTGTGGAGTGAGTTCCAAAGGTGATCTTTTTCCATCACAGTTACACATTCGAAGTGTGGGTGATTTAATTCATTAATGAGTAACGCCACTAACTGTATTACTAACTAAACTGTATTTGAGTTGAATAAAATATCTCTCCTGCCTTACTCTTGTACAACTAAACATTTAGCTTTATTAGTATTGAGCCATTTGACGGATTAGAACATAGCACATAGATAATTATTTTACTTCTTCCCACTTTAATTCATTTCTTGATTGCAGTAAAATTGTTTTATGTTTTTGTTTTCCTATTTGGTATCTATTTAATGGGAAGAGCTTAGCAGCTGTAACACATCTCTGTGACCTAGCAAGAGTGCTAAAGATTACCTTAATATAGTATTGAGTTAGATTAAGTCTAGTCAATGTAATTCTATAAGTTTTTGTTTTTATGTAAAGTATGTTTGGATTCAATAAAAATTATTATTGTTATAAATAACTCGTTTTACGTAAAATACACAGACCGCCGACGGGCATCAAAGTTGATAGTGAAATGGTGCTGTAATTGTCAATATGATAGATTGCGGACAAGCGTGTCAATTAAGATGAATCCTCGTGTGGAATGGGAGAGGGCGATATCCTGCAGTGGACAATTATAAGCTGATAATGAAGAAGAAGAAGCAGCGTTTTATAAGCAGCAAGAATTTTTTTAAAGAAAAACAAACTCTACATATACCAGAGAATCTCACATATACACGAAAGCTCTCAATTAGGATGGATATTTAAAACTTAAAAAAGCTTAATCATAATTGGATCATCCGTTTAAAAGCTGTTAGCACAAACCGATAACACCCCTCTGTTTTCGTCTGGCGTTAACACGGATTACAGAGAGCGGACTTAATGCCTTTTCCTAAGTTTTGTATTTATGGAAATAATTTTATTGTTCTTTGCAGTTGGCTTTTCTTTATGTATATATATATATATATATATATATATATATATATATATATATATATATATATATATTCACTTAGTCTATCTGCCGTATCCAAGAACAAGCAGCCCGTCAGCACCACAGTAAAATGTTTAACCACTGCGCTACAACGACGTCGAAATAATTACACATAGATAGATCCATACCTGTTATGTATGTTATTTAAGTTTTAAAATAATCATCACCAAGTCTATCAACTCGCTACTCGCAACACCGTAGTCAAACGCTTCATTTAAGCATTACTGACCCGTTCCATCCAACATATACCATAAAATTTAAAATAACAAATGTGTTTTATTAGTAACACAGCAATATACACAAAAGAACAAAAGGCTATTTATGTTTACAACGTAAGGCACCTCATTTGTCTAGAGTTCCCTCTGGGTAGCTAAATAGGAGCTGATAGGTAGGTATCAGAGTACCTACCAGCTTTTACCTATCTCTGTCGTCTAGGAGTTATGCGTGCACTGTTGTATTCTAGTTTGAACGGTGTATTCCGGTATAATTACAGAATTTCAGACATTCCATTATTGTCCTCTGAGGTGACAACGCAACTAAAGTTGAAGTAAGTTGGTTACAGATGTCCACCGGCTCCAGTAGTCACTATCCATTAGATGGATTATGAAATTGTATACCATTTCAATTTAAAAGAGAAAAACAGACATAAAAACAAGCAACCAACCAACAAATGTTTGGTGCCTGGTGCCCTCAAAGTGGTCAGTGAACTACAGTGTGGTTCACAAAGTAGTCAATAAACCACAATGAGGTTCACAAAGTAGTCACTTCTTCAATGTATAGGTAAATAAAAACCAGCTCCAATGAGATTATTATTATTACCTTACTAGTATCCTTGCAATAATTTTTAATTAACGACTATTGTGTTTATTTTAAAATCGTTTACATAAAATTAAAAAACTAAATAATGAAATTGCTTTTATCTAAACTAGATCAAATGTAGTGATTAAATTTTATAACCATAGTTAACGGTCAATAAAAAGAAGGGATATCCTTGTGAATGCGGGTCGGCAGTCAGTGACGTCAGGCGTTTCCTGCTACAAATCCGATTGCGTATGGAGGTAAATATACGTAATAGTAAATTAAACAGATATATAAAGGCATTCATTGTTTCAAATTCATCAGTTGAAAGGTAGACAAGACAAAGAACGCAGCAAAATGTTCTCCAAGGTAAATAATAATAGGCAATAAAATCCGAAAGCCGATTATTCGTAATCGATACAACGTTAAATTGATTAAAGACATTGAAATGATCAAGCAAGCAATGCTCATTGTATATCAACTTAAAACGAATTGGGAAATGCATGGAGTTGCTATTCCTAAAATAAAATTTTACTATTCCTTTTTTTACTCGCATTTTATAGACACATTTTATAGTTTAATTATCTTATTAGTAATATAGGACATATTGAGTGAATTCAGGATGAACTGTTTTGAGTATTTTATACCAGCGGTGGTCCCCATCTTTATTGAATAACTTTTCACATAATTTACGTCTGCCATTAAAATGCTAAGTTTTAAACAGTAAAATACTTTTATAATTATTTTCGTGATAATGTCCTTACGTTATATAACTAGCTAAAGCATTTATAAGTTTTATTAATCTGATATTATGATCATAGTTTCAATACTGTACTTCAGATTTCATGTATAGTCATATTATTTTAATTATTTTGGATTCAATATTTCATAGACCTTTCAGTCCACAGAGATATCTAATGCTCTAAGAAATAAATTAAATTTTGACTCCTAAAAACTAAACTCTTAATTTTTTATTACAGGTAGCTATTCTAGTTCTCTTCGTAGCGACTGCCTCCGGTAGTGCCATTCACGGTGACTACACCAGCTTCTCTTATGGCGTAGCTGACCCCCACACTGGGGACGTTAAGAGCCAGCACGAGACACGTGTCGGAGACAATGTAGTAGGCCAATACTCCCTGCTGGACTCCGATGGTCACCGCCGCACCGTCGACTACGCAGCTGACGCGCATTCCGGTTTCAATGCTGTAGTGCGAAGAGACCCCGCCGTGGTTGCCCACGCCACTCCTTTGGCATACGGAGCTTATGCTAGACCTCTTGCGTACACTGCTTATACCACCCCTCTTGCTGTTAACACCCACATCACTCCAGGTTCATTGTCATACTCCGCGCACAGCACCTCTGTTGCTCACAGCTCTCCCCTCACCTATGCTGCCATCGCTCCAGTAGCTTATGGAGCATATGCTGCCGGTCCCTTAGCTCGTGGCATCATTGCTGCACCTCTTTCCCACGGCGCATACGGAGCCCACGGCCATGGTTACAACCGTTGGGTGTAAACATCTACACTTTAACTGAAGATTCAAGATACTATGATTTTAGCTATAACAACAAGAAGATAATTTAAAAAATCCATGGTTATGATTATAAACTGAATCGAAAAGAAATGCTCTCTACGGTGCATATCAGAGGCTTTTAGAATATGTAAACCTGTGATAATTCCGTTCGTGATGAACTTCTAATGTAGATAACTACAATGTGTAAAAACTGTACAAAATAAATATTATTTATTACTAACACTATTATTTTAATTATAACATCTACTTAATCTAATTCCTTATCACGCCTGCGAATAGAACATGTAAGTTTTTTAAAATAAAATTTGCCTAAAAATTAAACATTTCACTAATTCACTTTGTGTAGACTAAAGTAAAAGTAACCTTGGATTTCTAGAATATGTTTTTATAAATATCAGGTGAAATAAAATATATACACAAGGTTATTTTTCAAAGAGTAGCCAAATTTCAAATGTATGTTCAAATATATAAATATTGATATAACGTTATTGCAGTTTTAGAAAGTACATACTACACTAAGTAATAAATACTACATAAAGTAAATAAGGCTTCTACTTTTATGTGACATCATCCCAAATTAATTGTGATTTATAGGCATCAACGTTTTTGCCTACCGATCGACCCCTTATAAATGTGTGGTTGCACAGTAAAATCAGTTAAAATAATTTATTAACACGCATTTTGAATTTAAAAGATAAAAAGTACAGAATATTTTAGATTTTTTAAATAAATTTTTCTTTAGCACTTGGTTGTATTTTACTCAATCTGAACCTTCTCCAAATTTGTCCTGTTAGTGCAAAATAACCCTCCATATATATATGAAGGCTTTTTAAAAATTATTTATTTTTTTACATACACAACTCGGAAAGTTTAATGTTTGCCCTTCCCGCTAAGAACGCAAACATTTTTATCTTAAAATAAGCATAAGCACCTTGTTATTAGCAAAGCAAATATGTAACTCTGTAATTAATTTACCAGCGATACTACGTTTTAGCATTGATTACTGATTAATTATATGATATAATAATATTGTTACGCGCCGAATTCGACGGCACTAGCGCCATCTAGTATCGAACAGAAGAATTAAGCCCTCTGGAAGCCGCACACTCGAATTTTCTGCGCTTGGTCGGTTGGCGCGCGTATTTACTTGAATATTCTGGAATATTCTGGATGTTTTCGTGGAATAGCCCTATATAAAGGCGCTGCAATACGCGATTGGGAAAGTATTGAAGTTGGCGAGACAAGCGAAGCTTCGGAGCGGAATAAAGTGAATCAGTGTGATTAATTATTAGTGTTTTTAACTTTAATTAGTGTAAAGTGAATTAAAGTGTTAATTTAGGTAATTCTATTGGCAATTTTTATTGTCACGAACCTCAAGCTCGTAACAATATGTAGTGGACACAGCATTGCCTTCTTTTCCGAGAGACTTATGGGGCAGTATGACTCTGATACTCCTCGTCGTCTCAATGCGCGTTGGTGTATTTCACACTCGAAACTTTTTCTACTACATTCACACTGGTCTCTCTGATTTGCAGTGAATATTTTTATCACTGCCATTGGAAAATCTTGCCGGGAAAGGACCACACTTTTAAAAATACCAGCGGGAAAAAACAGTTTAATGCTGTTTTATTTCGTATTGTGTGTAGAGCACCAGAGACCCTTTTAACTGTAAACAAGTCATTACATCTTAATTCTAAGAGGTGATAACGCATCTGCATTTTATTTTCGAGAATAGATATAGAGTTTATGGGCCACACACCTTATACATAAATACTGGGTATAATAACGAAAAAATTTATAAAAAATAAAGTTCGTTGCAAAGCATTAAAGGGAGACAGTTCACCTAGTGGAGTCTCCCTCTGAGGTTTTGCATCAGCATATCCAATGTAGTCCATGATGCGGATTCATTTGATAACATCGGTGTTTTTTGATTGAATACACATTAAACTAAGATAAAAGTAAGGTTTAATGTACTGTTTGTAGCCAGTTTAATCATTATGACTGGTTAAATGCTAAATTTTCAAATCATTATTTTCACTAATTAAGACCCATTTTCTCAATTCAGTGGTTGTAATTTTTCATGACATCTCTGTTTTAATTTTTTTTAATGTTTCAATTGCTGGTTGAAACAGCTTGTCAGCATCTGTCTCCCTATAATAAAACGATACGACTTAGGGACCCTCAAGAAAAGAGCTTACACCTTTGTAAAAGGCCGGTAACATACCTGCGATTCCCCTGGTGTTGCGGTTGTTCGTGGGCGGCGGTAGTCACATACCATCAAGTGAGTCGCATGCTCAATTGCCCTCTCTTTTTCGTGTGTGTTCAAGGCAATAATTATTAGACTTTTTTCATACTGAGACCGTGCGATTTAACACCAACAGATAATTCACAACCTACCACTAAATGGGATTGTAATCAAGCATTGCCTTATATAATATTTTAAAAAATCGAATCGCAGGTTGAATCTACGATAGTAACCTTTGCAGTCCGTGCCTTAAGCCAGTAGGCTATTACTATATAGTGGAAAGTAAAAGAACGCAATTTAAATTTATATTGACAAGTATGTGTTGTTTCTAACAGGGAAATATTCACAAAAGAACAAGAAACTAGGTACGTTTACTACGGTGGTTCCCTTTTACCTATGAGACGACCTGGGTAGCTAAGTAGGAGCTGATAGAAAGGTAGCAGAGATTTTTTATAGAATAAGGGTGACAAATGAGCACATAGTCCACCTGATGGTAAATGGATGCTATGGCCCATAGACATCTACATTAATTCTCGATTAAGAATCAAAACGCAAATGCGTTGTCACCCCTGAGGACTAAGATGGAATGCCTCGTTTTCAGTACAAAGGGGTCTCCGGATCTCTACACTCACCTGCTACTATTTTACGCTGGTATTCTGTGAGAGTGTGGTCTTTCCCCGGCCGACTCATTTGTGCTACAACCATAATATAGCTACAGTGTGGCTCTAGCATGTATAAAAAAGAGTAAGAGTTTTTACCCGTCTCTGGCATCTAGAAGCTATGCATGCACTGCTATATTTCAAAGTGTAGAAAGCCAGTACAAGAACATATCTACGTTTAGACATTCCATCATAGCGCTCAAAGATGATGACTCAACTATAAGCTTTTGTTTGAAGTTGGCTATAGGTTTCTATAGGCTGCGGTACCACTTTCCATTAAATGGACTGTAAATTCGTTTGTCATTTGAATTTAAAAAATAAATTATAAAATTCCTTTTTTCAATCAACTGATGATTTGATCTAGTTTAGGAATCACAATCACACATCTTATTAACATAATTAAATTTCGATAAAAAGAAGGAATATCCTTGTGAATGCTGGTCGACAGTCAGTAAGGTCGGACGTACGTACGTAATACGTAATAGCACAGAATATATAATAGTAATATGTAGTAATAGTAAATTAAACAGATATATAAAGGCATTCATTGTTTAACATTCATTAGCGGGAAGGTAGACAAGATAAAGAAAAGAGCATAATGTTTTCCAAGGTAAATAATAATAGCCAATAAAATTGAATAGTCGATTATTCGTAATCGATACAACGTTAAATTTATTAAAGACATTGAAATCAAACAAGCAACAATCATTGTCTTAAGGGCCTATACTACCTACCTCAGCTCAAATTCCAATTTCTCCTCCACTTTCCCGCGCCACTCGTTCGCACACTATGCGTGGCTCGAGGTCACGCGGGAACACGAGGCCAAAGCGATTTTGTTAGAATAAAATAAACTATTATCGGAAGAGCACTAAATAGGTAATAAAGTTTTCAGCCATAATTTAATATTAACTTGTCATTATATGAACATAAAATTATATGTCGCAAATTTAATTTCATTGTACATACTAACGGCATATTCTTATAACTAAAATTTAAAAAATACTATAAGTAGACAAACATATTCAATTAAAAAGCATTTTTTATCAAAATGTCACAAATAGTCGTAGAAAAAATAAAAACTGATGCACATTTTTTCACATATTTTGCTAATACGGATGAATCATAAACTATTGCAATGAGGGCAAATATTTTATTTTTGGTGCCTGTTTTGATTTATTGTACAAAGATTTCGATGAATCACAGCCCGCGCAAAAGTACTCTGTGAGTCCGCACTCGGCCGCCGTCGTGAGTGGACACTGTATCGCCTGTTTTGCAGCGGCTCATTCTGAAAAGATCGCTGTACATACACAAAATATTAGAAAAAAACAAATTGGAAACATAAGTACTTGACAAGTGATAAAATTATTATTTTTATACTCACAGTTTTTTATTTCGGTAAAAATAATTAGGATTTATATACATATAAACTTACCTCCGGACTTGACAGAGTGGCCTGAAGGTAACTACAACTCCTGGACGAGCGGAACTAGAAGTGCCGAGTTTGGGCTCGTTTTTTAGTTATGATGAGATCTTACCTCTGAACTTGATGGTGTGATCTGAAGTTGTATATTCGTGACCGCTATTTGAACTTCTCGCAGAGTAAAACTAGGTGTGCCGAGTTTGAGCTCATTTTGTTAGTTATGATGAGACCTTACCTCCGGACTTAATGGAATGACCTGAAGGTGTATTTCGGTAACTTCGAACGAATTGGGACAACATGGAATTGCTACCATTTCTTTAATTCTCTTTTTTTCTATACACATTTTAACATAATTAATGATCTTATTTAAAAATACATAACATAAAGAGTGAATGAAGAATGAGTGTCTTTTTTATTTCAATATTAAAAAAACCATAAAAATTATTATTTTCTTTTGGTAACAAATTATTTTTAAAAAGCCACCTCTTTAAATATTTTATACTAGCAGTACGCCAACGTTACGTATGTTCATTAACTTGAATGTTAATATGGTTTAAATGCCATATTATTTAGTATGCCAATATAGTGCAAATTTTTAGCAATACTTATACATTTTTAAATTACTTGACGTGATAATTTTCTTATATTAAATAACTAT